CCCGTCCCCCCCCCCCCCCCCCCCCAGTTGCGCCTCGCTCGTTGTCGCCCAAGGTCAAATCTGGGGCTAACTCTGTGGGAAAGCCAAGGCAACGATCGCAGCAGCTGCGGGGGGCAGCCGAGCAGGCCTCCATCGCGGGGCTCTGATACGCTCGTGGATGAGGACGACGCCTACAGAATGCTCGACGTCGACGACAGCGACAGCGACAGCGACATTGAAGTTGTGGAAGTCGTGGACTTGACCGGGGTGAGCGACGACGACGACGACGGTGACGACGATAACGATGACGACGACGATGACGACAATGACGATGACGACCCGTTCGCGACTCCACCGCTTGTCCAACAGGAGGAGAACGCCACACCCCCCCCCTTCATGAGGTGGACGACGACGACGACATTGAAGTCATGGACTTGACTGGGATGGGCGACGACGACGACAACTACGCGTTCGCGACACCACCGCCTCCCTAGCAGGAAGAAGAGCACGCTGCGCTTCTCTCCCCTGAGGTGGGCCACGACGGCGACCTTGAAGCCGTGGACTTGACCGGGATGGGCGACGACGACGACAACTACGCGTTTGCGACACCACCGCCTGCCCAACAGGAGGAGCACGCTACGGCTTTGGCTCCTTGAGGTGGGAGAGAACGCTACGCCTCCCCGGAAGAGGAGAACACCACGCCTCCCCCCGAAGAGAACGCCGCGCCTCCCCCGAAGAGGGAAACGCCACGCCTCCCCCCAAAGAGGAGAACGCCACGCTTCTCCCCGAGGAGGCGAAAGGGGAGCCCCCAGCCAGCAGCAGCAGCAGCAGCAGCAGCAGCAGCAGCAGCAGCAGCAGCAGCAGGCCTCGCCCACGCGGCCGCACTCAGCGACCACACAACGCTCAAGCAGCGCTGCCACCAGCGCCACAACACCCCCGCGAACCGCGACCCCTACACGGAGCGCCTGATGGCGGCCCTCATGGCGCTCGGCGGGCAGAGCGCGCTTGAGCGGAAGCGGCGGCGAGAGCGACGGGTGGAACACGGCCGCAGTACACCCGGGGCGTTCAGGGAGACACGGGCTTCTAAATGCCAGCTCGAGATCGATGGTGCCCGCAAGGTACCTTCATCACCTTCTTAACTGCTTGGACATGGGGGTTTCGGTTGCGTTTGTGAGATGCTGACTGAGAAAAGAAACAGAAAGGGCAAATGTCGGGTTCTCGTGCCGAGCATCGCGTACATCAGGATTTCACCAGACGGTCCAGTCTTTAGTTTGTACACCGGCCGAGGGGCGAGGAGGGTCCAGGTCTGGTTTGCCAAAAGAGAGTTGTGCTCGGTCTTTATAGCTTTGAGCCCATTCCTCCCAGTGAGGCAGGCAGGCCTTGGGCTTCTCCGTCGCTTGCCATGGATGAGCTGAGGAACGCCAATGCTGGCAGCATATTTGTGTTTCATCATCTCTTTAGCTTCGAGCTGCAAGTCGACGTCCTCGTACTTGACACTTTATGCCATCTCGGGAAGTGGGCTTTCCCATGGTAGAATGTGCCTCCTGGCGTGTGTGAGCGTTCTGATATAGCTGTTCCCGAGGTTGGTCTCTTAATGCCTGTGGGGATTGGGCATCGAGTCTCTCTTGCTTCTTTGCGGGCACATCATCTTCCCACAGGTGCTCTAGCTCGAGGTTCCTCCTTTTCCCAGGCAAAGGAAAGTGAGATGCAATGCAATCCCATCGCTCATCGAACATGACATGACATTGTTGGTAAAAAGTCTAATACCGCAGCAACTACATTGCAACTCCTCTTGGGGCAGAGAAACATAAACAAAATGACGGTGCTACTTGGTCATCGAAATGGGTCGACGACTTCAACCGGGGCGTTCCGCACTCATCCGCAACTTTGCTCCCCCAGAAATTCTGGCTGTACCCAGACTTGGCCGACGCTGCGGGAGGAACATGGCCCCGGACTGGACGCGACTTGCAACCGACGCCCATGACAAGCCGAGGGCCATATGCGTCACTCGAGATACCATTTCAACTGCTGCCTCCAAACGATTTGTCGACAAGCCAAAAGGTTCGTTCTTGACACTAAGCGAGGCCAAGTCATACACGCGTTTGTCTTTGTCCGGTCGGCGCTTCCAACAGCTCCGTGTTCCCCCACGAGCTCACAGATATACACCGGGCCCGCTGGCGCTAGCGACTCGATGAAACCTCGTTCCGTGGCCGGGCTCTGTTTCCTCCAACCTCCTCCCACACGCTCGTCCGTAAGGCCAGTGCCGTCGCTAATGACGGACAAACGGTGCAAGATAGGGTCTATTGTATGTTGAGCTAGATCTCGTGTCCGAGAAAGGAGGACGGGTATAGGGCCGAGGGCCCTGTGCCCTCCTTTTATACCCAGATCCCGTCTCTTGTAGGTGCGGTACCTGATACCGCACCCCTGTCATTGCCGACGAGTGCTCGGTAAGCATCTCATCTGCCCTGTGCGGCACCAGTGCTCCGCACCGGTGTCGGTGCAGATCTTCCGCGCCAAGGCCTGGAACAGTGTGCCGGCCCTTGGTGATAGCCTCCTTTGTGACAGTCGCCAATACACTCTCTCCTCCATCGCCGTCGCCCGCGCAGGAACGGCCGGAGCCGAGACTCGACGGTTCAAGCGGCGGCAACCACAAGGCGACAACGGGCCAGGACCGTGCGTGCAAGAAGGGCGCAGCCAACGGCCAAGGCAAGGAGCACAGCTCCTTCGGACGACGCACTGTCCCCCCAAGAGTTCTCCCTGAGCTCCTTCGGACGACGCACTGTCTCCCCCCAAGAGTTCTTCCCTGTACCTTCCAGGGCTCCCACGCTCCCCGATGAGGAAAACTGTGCCGGCGGTCCAGCTGCCGGCGACCCAGCCCAGCCCAGCCCAGCCCAGCCGATGGCGCAAGACGGCAAAGCACGCACGCCAGCGAGGAGAGTGCGTGCTTCGGCAGCCTTGGCCGCTAGGGTAGTGAATCTGGCAGGCGAAATCCTGTTTCGCGAGGGGCGAGAGGATGTCCGAGCTGGGCTCGTCCAGGGGTGCCGGCGCGGGACTCGGCGATGGCGATGGCGATGACGGTGTATATGCTGCCCGCGGTATCGATGGCAAAGGCGATAGTGGGGCCGACGCCGAAGAGCAGGCAGCGCCGGTTGCTGGCGGCATCGCAGCCGACGACGATGCGGGGCCGCTGGTGCCGACGGGCCTTTGGCCAGTCTGCCCGCCGGTCGGGGCGGCGGCTCCTTTGCCCTGGGGCATCCTCGAGCTGCTCATTGCACCGGGTATTGGTGCCCTGTATCAACGATTGATTGTTGTCTTTCTTTTCATATCCAGTTGCTGGCGGTATCGCAGCCGCCGACGACGCGGGGCCGCTGGTGCCGCCAGGCCTTTGACCGGTCTGCCCGCCGGTTGGGGCGGCGGCTCCCCTGCCCTGGGACATCCTCGAGCTGCCCATCGCACCGGGTATCGGTGCCCTGGGGCATCCTCGAGCTGCCCATTGCACCGGGTATCGGTGCCCTAGGGCATCCTCGAGCTGCTCATCGCACCGGGTATCGGTGGCCTGTGTCACCGTGCCGCCGGGCCTTTGACCAGTCTGCCGGCTAGTCGGGGCGGCGGCTCCTTTGCCCTGGGGCATCCTCGAGCTGCTCATTGCACCAGGTATCGGTGCCCTGTGTCAACGATTGATTGATGTCTTTCTTTTCATATCGCGGGGCCGCTGGTGCCGCCTGGCTTTTGACCAGTCTGCCGGCTGGTCGGGGCGGCGGCTCCTTTGCCCTGGGGCATCCTCGAGCTGCTCATTGCACCAGGTATCGGTGCCCTGTGTCAACGATTGATTGTTGTCTTTCTTTTCATATCGCCACGGCCGCAGGGTACAAGGCAGCGATAAGCAAAGGTCAGCAGGGGCCTCTATCAAAAAGCGCCATGGAAGTGACATCTTGGCTTTATGTGGAAGCAGCTTTGGGCTTGTCGCAAGGCTTTTTCAGCGGCAGTCCCATGTACCTAGAGAGCGAATCGTCTGCCAGAATGCTAGCAGCCAGGCGATCCATCTCTGCTTTATGTGGAAGCAGCTTTGGGCGTGTCGCAAGGCTTTTTCGGCGGCAGTCCCATGTACCTGGAGAGCGAATCGTCTACCAAGAATGCTGGAAGCCAGGCGATCCTTGTTGGCGATATGCTTGAAATGGTTTTTAAAGGTGTGAGCAGACTCTGCCGGGGCCGACATCCTGTCTGCTGGACGCCCAGGACTGGTACTCATACACCCCCGTCTGCGATCCCTCGGCGACGATTCGTTCTTTGTCGACGCGCGTCGAGGACGCCACCAGCCCTGCGATCCTACTTGAGCACCCTGAAAGACTTGGGCCGTGGCGGGCTGCCCTGGGGCTGCTCTCTTGCCAGGCTTCGGTAGGGCGCACGTCGTCCGACCCGACGCAGCCCACCTCTTCTCGTGAATCTCGGTCGGAACGGGTGAGGGCCGGTGGTTGTTGCGCAAAGCCGGTGCTCGACCGTTGTTCGTGGCCGATGCTGCCGGCCTAGATGCCCTAGGCCTGGAAACCGCCACCGCTAGTACCGGCGCCGGGCTGGCCTTTCGAGTGAGTCGCTGGCTGCACTTGACTCTGCCGTTCTTGGTCTAGCAGGCCCATGATCCGGGAGTGGCCGACCTAGCTCGCGAACTAGCCGGTCTAGCCGCCTCTTCCGTCTCTTTCTTCATTCCCGGTAAGCATGGAACTGCGACGGCTTCATGAGGGCGGGATGAGGATAAACATCTACTGCCTTACTTACGAGGTCGGAGTCGTTTGAAATGGACGAATAACTGATAGTGGACAGCGATCCCTCAGAGGATCTACGCGTCAGAAGAGGAGGGGTTGGAAACTGATCAACGAGCGCATCGCGCCTTTCTTTGATGGAGCTGTTGCCGTGGCCAAGTGTTGTTTTTCTTGAGGGCCTTTATTTTGGTTGAACCGACGCGTGGATTGATCTTTGCGGTATTTGTGGCCGCTCAAAGTGATCCGTTAATGGAGCCTGTGGCGTTGGGGCAGGTTAACGTTGAGAAGCCTACTGGCTGATCGAGCTTGAAATACCAAAAGAGATAGGCGGGGTCACCGCGCTGGGCCGTTCAAACTTTTCATGGAGAAAGGCAACCTCGGTAGGAACGCAGCCCGCTCGGGCGGGTGCTCCTGCATGCGGATGCGGGCTCAACTTCCCCAGACCCTCTGACCCTATACATCGTCGTTCAAGACCGCACGTTTTTCGAAGAGCTGCGCACGCTTAATGAAAAAGTCACCGAGGTGCCGCTTCTACCTGCCGGCGTCCGAGTCCAAGCCTGCTTTCAAGGCGCCAAAGGATCTCGAAGACATCAGAGATGATGAAGGCGACGATGGTGGCGGCCACTCAAGCGATAGCGCCAAATCTTTCTCGACCCTTTCATCCTCATCCTCGGCCGCGAGTTCACCCGCTCTATCGCGCGCGTCCACTGAGACCTTTGGTGGATTCGTCCCCTCGCCTACAAGACCAAAGTTAATGTATTCCACCTAAACCCCGGCACCCTTGATTTAGCCCTCAATCCCCACGCTAAGAACACCATCAAGCTCGGAGGGGCGGAACTCGAGCTATATTGCCAGGATGCCACGTTGACCAAATGCTACGATACACCGAGCATTCACAGCCTACAGCTCGACGACCCAACCGAGGCGAATAAGGGCTCCGTCTGTTTCCACAGCCTGGAGTAGCGTCACGTCCGCCAGCCTGGAGCAGCGTCACGTCCGCCAGCCCGTCGCGGGCGGCTGACGCCGACAAGCTTTACGTCTTCCCGACACCTAGCGCTCGACAGCCGGACCGATAGAGGCCTGTATATGTCGCTGGATCCCTGGACGGGCACGTTACTACGTGACCAGGGAGCTCGAGGCTGGCCAGCGGGTTCCTGGCCGAGAGCAGACTGCGAATGTTGGAGAAGCTACCGGTAATAGCGACTGCCTGATTTATTTACTACCTTGCTTGTCGAAGACGTGAGTTTACCACCTTGCTTGTCGAAGACGTGAGTGTTTGTCGATGACATCTCGCTGACCGGCATACTAGGCTTTGGGACCCTTTGTTTTCGAAGAAGGACTTCGACAAGGCGACAGTAAACGCGGAGGGGGCCTCTACCTGGCGTCACACTACCGCAAAGGTGCATTTCCGCTCGAGTTCATCGAAAACTCGGTCGGTCAGACAAGCCATCGTGAACTAGAAACACTGGCCCGCCGGCTCCTGCACCGCCTGCCTGATCCGGCTCGCGGGCCGATTGCACCAGGCCGGCATCGTCCACAACGACATTTTGCCTTGCTACAACGCCGGCGTACGACCGCCTATACGTCGAGGACGTCGAACTGGCCGGCTTCTCCGAGGCGTCGGACGATATATGTCGCGGGCCAAGGACGACTTGCCGCCACGTCTTCGAAACCGTGCGGGAATACCTGGGGAGCCTTGGCCGCAAAGCTGCCGCCGCAGTGGCTGGGGAATCGGGTCTTGGACCATGTGCAACGGATGGCCAATCGACGATCGTTTCAACACTAGATCCTGCCCTATCCAGGAGTTCCGAGGCTTCCTCCTCGACGTGCGCGAATGCGGCCGCGATGCGAGTGACCGGGCCGAGTTCTACGCCATGCTCGGTCGCCGGAGAGACGAACGGATCACCGAACTGCAAGAGGCGTGGTACGACGTGCGCGGTTGGATGCGGCTGTACCATACAGACAAGCTCTACCGATGCCAAGAGCCTTGCTGCCTCAATCGCCTGGCGACTTTGAACAAGGCTCGTTCCAGCCCACAGCTCCAAAATGCAGACAGCGAGCGCACCGAATGGTTCCACATCATGTCTGGGTCCATGGCCTTGGACGCCATGGTCAGGTACTTTGACGGTTTCGTCCGCGAACTGCGCGAGGTGCGAGAGAAGGAGCGAAGGAAGAGAGAGGAGCGAAGCAAAAAAGAAAGCAGCCGAACTGAGAAGGGGATTGGAAGAGTCTCTGAAAGAACTGAGAGAGCAACTTCAAGCCCGGTCGCTGAGAGAGCAGCTTCAAGCCCGGTCGCGCATGGAGAACGGGCGGCAACCAGATGCAGTCGCCCAAGAGACGCGGACGCAGTCATCCGCCACGGTTGTGTCGGCCGAGTCTGCTGAAGCCGTCTCCGATCGCTCATCGCCGACACTGGTCTCGGAGCGTTCGCCCCCTACGAGCGGGCAAAAGGCGAACGGCGGGCCAGACATGGCCCAGCCGTTCAGCGAGGGATCAAGCTCCAAAGCCACACTCGGCACGTCACCCTCGACGCCATGCAAAAAGCGCCCTCGAACCGACCCAGCGCGGGCAACAGCAGCCTCTTTGAACGACCAAGTCCAATGGGCCACATCCGAGGAACGTGAGCAGGGAGAGGGTGCGGACGACGCATCGAGGGACTCACCGCGCCAGCAAGCAGAGCCGCGAAACAAGAGACGCCGCCGCGTTCCTCCTCCCCCATCTTCGTCGTCACCCAGTCACAACATGACTGCTGCTAGCCCCGGCGACGACACCCCCGGCGCATACGGGCATGGAGTCCCGCCCACGGGGCCCCTGAAGGGCGAGGAAGAGCAGCGGGCTGCAGCCGCAGGCGACCCTCCAAGAACCACTCTAGGCGTTCACCAAGACCCGCCACCCCACGGCACCTCGCGGCCGGCCTACACGAGCGGGACGGGCGAAGAGGCAAGGGGTCCACCAAGCCCATCGGGGACGACCGAGGAAGAGGAGGAGGAGCTGCTCCATGCCACGCAGTATCCGGGATCCAAGGTTGCGCAGTATCGGTTCGATCTCGTGTACGTTCCTATGACGAATGTGGCTGAGGCCTGGGACGAGCCCGATTTTGCATTTTGGTACTAATCATGTCCCCGGGCGGATGGCGTGAGACGCCTCCCACATGGAAAAGACAGGACCTGGCAGGAGTCGAACAGGTCTTGATAGCTAGTTGCCAGCATGCTTTTGGGGGTGTAAGAGTTTGCGTTGAACAAAACTCTAAGGGAACTGGTCGAAACTAATCGTCTGCGTCCAGCCGTGGGCACACATATTCGAGCACGTAGGGACAAACCTAAAAGTAGGGCAAGAGACTTGTTGCACGAACTTGCTGTGGTACGGATCCAGACCGGCCTTGGCCATTATCTAGTTAAGGGGGTGGCTACCTTGCTTTCCCGCAATCGCCAGCACAAAGCTCGCTCCGTTGCCCTCGACCCCGTCGCTAACTTGTCGCTATGAACCCTACTACTGGATAGCGAGCACGTAAGGATAAACTTAAAAGTAGGGCAAGAGTAACTTGTTGGCCTTAGCCATTACCTAGTTAAGGGGGTGGCCACCTCACCTTGCCGCAATCGCCAGCATAAAGCTCGCTCCGCTGCCCCCGACCCCGTCACTGACTTGTCGCCATGAACCCCCATCACACTCAGACCACCCCTGCCGCCGCTGGAAGCAGCAGCAGCAAGCCAACCTTCTCAAAGTGCACACAGCCTGGCCCGTCGTCTCCCAACTTTGCCGTCGCATCTCAGCCTTTGTCGCGCCCACTTGCCGTCGCATCTCAGCCCTCTGTCGCTACCCGCAGTTCGAGCCCGTCCGCCACCGTAGCCGAAATGCCGTCGCAAAACAAGATGCTGCGCTGGTTGGACAAGCTCAACAATCGACTGAAGGAGGACCTGGAGCGGGACCGGATCCCTGTGAGCGAAGCATCCAAAAGGTAAGAGCAATGACTTTTTTTTTTTTGCCTTTGGCCGATAATATTTCCGATTTCCCCGATTGTTTTGTTTCCATCGCCCCGGTTCGCCTGTACTGACACTACTCGTCCCTCGAAAGCATCATCGTGTACTGCAACACCACCCCGGACTACATGGTCCCATCGGTTTGGGGCGCCGCCCCATCAGTTCTGGGCGAAGTCCGCGAGGAGCCGGCTCCACAGAAGCCGGGCTTGAAGGGTCGCTTTACCAAGTTGTTCAAGAGGCGTGGTTCGCGTTCGTAGTTCTTCTCTAACAAGCTCGAGAAGCGAAAAAACTACAACCATGAATAGAGACAGAGAGATAGAGGAAAGAGAAATAGATTGAAGAGTATGAGAAGAATTGAAAGGGAAATGGAAAATGGAATTAAAAAGAAGAGCAGAAAACGAAGCAGAAAAGAAATGAAAACATTAAATAATTTGATGCCATAAAGCCCGAGGCTTTTATTTACGCAACAGGACTGGGAGACTGGACTGAATGGGCGGGGTTCAGCCAAGGAAGGTGGGACCGCCCCACCTGCCCACCGACCGCATCTACCCTAACCGCACAAAGGACCTCGTTCCTCGTCTGCAAAAAATTTTAGAAGCTTCAACTTTGCCCAAAATCATCACCCACTGAAGCCATTCCATCTCGCCCATTGCCCGCAGCTCAATCAATCATTTCACGATGGGTATCTCCGGCGGTCTCCGCGCCGGCACTCGCTATGCCTTCTCCCGCAAGTTTCGAGCCCGTGGAATGATCAACCTGGGCACGTATTTGCGCCAGTTCCATGTGGGGGATGTCGTCGACATCAAGGCCAATGGAGCAGTCCAGGCTGGGTGAGCATCCTGCCCGCGCAAGAGACCCAAGTGTCCGATTTGAGAGACAGCGCGCGCGCTGACAAGCTGGTCATCTATTTTTGCAGAATGCCGCACAAGGTCTACCATGGCAAGACCGGCGTCGTGTGTACGCTTTCCCCCTTTTCTTTCATGAACCTCTCACATACTGCCCCGGGCGGGGTGTTTATCTAACACATGGCATGGCATGCCCGAGCAGACAACGTAGGAAAGTCGGCCGTGGGCGTCATCGTGTACAAGAAAGTGAAACATCGCTATCTCGAGAAGCGAGTAAACTTGCGCATCGAGCACGTCCACCCCTCGCGCTCTCGAGACGACTTCCTGCGCCGCGTCAAGGAGAACGCCGCGCTCAAGCAAAAGGCCAAGGCCGAGGGCACCCCGGTCCAGCTCAAGCGCCAACCCGCCATGCCCAGGGAGGCCAGGACCGTCTCAACCGCCGACAACAAGCCCGTCACCCTCGCCCCCGTCGCGTACGAGACGACCATCTAGACGATCGAAGCCAAGATTCGGGAGATGGATTTATCGGCTGGTTCAGGTCAGGCGCAATGGGAAAATTCGGAGGGTTGATGAGAGGAGGCTTTTCCTACAACTCTTTCATTGTTTGCTGCTGTCCGTTGAGAGGAACTCGACGGCGGCAGGCTGTTTCTCTCAATCACAAGACGGCGAAGTTCGGACTTTCCGGTGGTTTTGGTTTTTGGGCGGTGGACAACACCCAACTGTGCATCGTGTCTATCAAGACCACGATTTCTTGCGTTTTTTTTTTCTCAAATGGAACAGAGACAAACTTCACCGCATAGGGATAGGCGTTGATTTTAGGGACTGGCTTGGCCGAAGAGAATCATGACAACCAGGCAGACTCGACTTGACGTCTTGACCATGGAGAGCATTGTGTCTGGTAGCCGAGGTGTTGTTGCATTTACAGCCTAGTAGTTCCATATCCGCAGGAACAGGCACCTCCGGGGGAAGCGCGGCAATAGGATGGGGAGGCAGAGGGGCAAGAACTAGGTTACAAAGGCGGGATGACAGACGGTGGGGAAACAGACCCCATGGGGGGCCAATGAAACTAGGACGATGGATTTGGGGTCAGCAGAGGTGAGAAATTGTCGTGTTTGTCGATAACCCTCGACCAAAGAACTAGAACAGATATTTTAGGTCACAAGACAGAGGAGGACAGGCGACAGTAACGAGACAACCTCCAAGGGATTCATTCGCATGTTGGACAACAACGGTCAACCTCACTGTTAGTCGGACGGAGAAGTTGGTTGGAATAATCCGTACTCTACAAGACGAAAGAAAGAAGACGAGGAGCCGCACCACGGGTGAGCACGTTCATAATCCATGCGCACAGATAAGCGATCAAGAAGGTACAGTAAATGGCATGAACGCGAAAGCGACGACAAGACAACAGAAACAAGACAAAACAAAAAGCTTTCGTGGACGTCGTGGGAAATCCGAGGCGTATGGTGTTGTTTTTAATGGCAAGGAGATATAGAAGAGAGAGGAAAGGGCGTGCGGATGGAAGGACAGCGGCCATCCCGATGCAAAATGGACAACAGAGTCACGCCCAGAACTCTGGTTAGCTGGTATCTTTAGGCCTTGGAGCCGGTGGCAGCCATGGAGCCGGTGGCAGCCATGGAGGCTGCCGTCGACGGCTGGTTGGGGTGGGTGTGGGTGTGGGTGTGTGAGTGGTTGCCTCGCTTTGTGAGGGTGGCCACATCGTGTTTTCCTGGCGAAAAAACAGAGAGTCAGCTAAATGCCCAAGGTTCACGTCTTGGAGCAAAAAAAAGAATGGCAAGACACCTACCATCGCAGCAGGCTCTGACATTCTCCAGCCTCGCAGACTCGCGGTCCTGTGCCTCGTACATGGCCCTCAGGTCCTCGGCGCTATCATGCACCTCGCTCGCCTCATATATGGATCGTTCTTGGGCGCCGACGCTCCTGCTTCGTAGAGTTCCCAGCTGGCTTGATCGCCAGTAGCCACTCAGACGGCTGAGCGTCCCCAGTGAAGGCCGCTGATCCTTCTTCTTTTGAGGGGATGGCATCAAGGTCGGCACGTCCAAAGAAACATTGACCATGGCCGGGGATTCGTTCCGGGTGGTGCGTGAGTTGTAAGACATTAACGAAGGTGGGGCTCGCGTGGACGCGCGAGTGCTCATGACGACGGGGCGCCGCCCCATCTGAGGGTTGAATTCGTCGACATCTTCACTCGTGATGTGCTCAGCAATCTCCTCCGTGTCGGCATGCCCTTCAACATCGGTGCGGAGCAGCAGGTACGAGAGCGCATTGAACCATGTCTCGTGTCGCTGACCCGTAGTACACGTAAACTTGATGGTGCGGCCTGGGGATAGGATAACCAAGCTCTTGCGGTGAAGGCCGGGAGGCATGGGGTTGTCATCGGTGACGACACGGACGGCCTCAATGGGCACGCTCTTGGCCCGCAGCTCTGAACGACCGGCCAATGACGGGTCGCGGTCGCTCCAGTACAGGGTCCTGGTGTAGGGATGCACCCAGAAATAGCGTCGGTGGCGCTTCTCCGACATCTCACCGCGGCCGGCCTTGCGCGTGTACTTCCACAGATACTCGCCAATCATGGTTTGCGTGATGGCCTGGATCATGCGGGGGTCCGTGTTGGGATCGAACCCGTGGCTGTGCTGGCTCGGTATGCCGTTCTGCGTGTTGAACCGCGCGTCCACCTCGGAAGCAAACGACGAAATCGACGACTGCCTACTATGTGCCGTGATACGCGAAGGGCTGGGATACACCTCGGCCGCACCAAGAGCCGAGTTCGATCGAATGGGCCTCGGTATCGGCGTGCCGCGTCCGAACGTGGCCGAGACGGGCGAAAGCGGATGGGAGCCGCTGGGGGTGCGCGGTCGGATGGACGCGTTACGATAAGCTGAAGCTGGCAGTAGCGGGGGGCCCATGGTGCCGATGGTGCCGATGGTGCCGATGGTGCCGATGGTGCCGATAGTGCCGATAGTGCCGATGGTGCCGCTTACGCCGCCCGACGAGTTGCTTCGTGCGGCCTCGATAGCCTGTTTATGGTTGGGTGGCAACGGTGGCAGCGCCGCGGCCTGGAACGAGGCCCGGCTTGCAGCACTCCCGGGCCGCCTCGGAGGGGCCATGTCGGGGTCGAAAGCTCCATCGGGCTTGCTCTTGTGGTGGTGGATGACGCTGCCAATGCTCTCCTGGGATCGTCGTACCCGTATAGTGCCAGGGGTGCCCACACTCGTGCCAAAAGACTCGTTCCGTCGGTGCCCATCGTCAGGGCTGCCGGTTTTGGTCCTCAAACGCATGATTTGGTCGATGGCGTCGGCCGTCAGAGCCGTCTGAGCTCCCTGGTCCGCCGTGGCAGTCATTTGCTTCCGCATGGGCTTGGTATTGGTGTTGGTTGGGAGTTCCTTGAGCGGTCTCTGTGACTCGGGAGTTTGGGCAACAGGAGAGTCGCTGAGGGATTGACGTGTATCATCCTCGGCAATGATGGGCGATTCGGGCGCCTTGCCCTTGCCCTTGGCTCGGCCAACTCTAAAAATAGCATTGGTGGGAGTTCTGGGAACGTCTTTGCCGCGGGGAAGCGTGAAGGTGAAGCCATTACGCTTCGGGCTTGGGGAAGGAGCTGGACGGGTGTTCACCGATGTGACGACGCCAGAGTAGCCGAGCTCAGGCACCACGGGACCGAGGCCGATAGACTGAACCGGCTCCACATGCTCGGTCGAGATACGTGACAGCGACAGACCGGGCAGCGGAAGTTTGGTAGGGCTGACAGGCTCGACATGCTGCGCGGCGATTGCCGATAGAGACAGCGCGGGAGCCGGTAATTCGGGCTCGACACAAGGGTCCAGAACTTGCGACAGGATGGGGGAGAAGGCAAAGGTGGAGAAGAAGGTTTCCGGCACGGCCGAGGGCTCCAGGTGTTCCGCTTGGATGGGTGAGAACGCAAGCGCAAGCGCAAGCGCAGGGGCACAGGTCTCGGACTCGGCTTGGGGCTCCAGGCCTTGTCCTTGGATCTGGGAAAGGGTGAGGGTTGGATAAACGGGAGACACGGGGGCCTCGACGATTGGTTCCACGTCCTGGACCTGGATGTTGGAAAAAGACAAGACCTCTGGAACAGCGGGGGCCGGTTGTGACTGCTCTGGCTGAACTGGAGCCACTTCATACTGCGCCAGAATGCCCGATAACCCTAGGGTGACTGGGGCAGGTTGAGTCTTGGTAGGTACCGCGGCCAGGAGCGCAACGGGCGCGGGAGAAACTGCCGGTTCGGGCTGCTCGATGGGCACGACCTCTTCAGCAATGATGGCAGATATGCTCAAAGCAGGAGCGGGGGCTGCGGGTGACTCGGTCTCACGCCGAGGCTCAACATGTTCCATCTGGATTGTAGAAAGAGAAAGTACGAGCGTGGGAGGCGCGGGAGGCAGTTCTACCGCCTCGACAACTGGCTCGATTTCTGTGGCCTGTATCGTCGACATATTGAGACAGAGAGGCGGAGCTAGTGCACCAGGTTCGGGCAAAGGCTCCACATCTTGGACCCGGATGGCCGACAGGCTCAGACAGATAGGGGTAGGTGAAATGATCTCAGGCTCGGAGGCCGGCTCAACAGACTCGGCACGGATGGCCGAAAGTATCAAGGCAGGTGACAAAACCTCGGGCTCCATGACAGGCTCAACATGCTCGATTTGAAGTCCAGACAAGCGAAGCGTCGGAGATGGAAGCTTGGGCTCGCTCACTGGCTCGATATGCTCCGTCTGGATGCCCGAGATGCCAAGAGTGGGTGGGAGGATTGTTGGCTCGCTCACCGGCTCGACCTTCTCGGCCAGTATGTAGGACATGGCGAGAGAGGCCGGCTCCGTCATCATGCCACTGTCGACCATGACGGCCTTGGGCAGCGGGGGAACCTCGGGGACAGGCGAACGCCTCCGGTGCACAATCGAGGCAGGAGTCATGGAACGCACGCTGCGCCTGCTCGGGGTTGCCACCAGAGACTCATCGTCGCTCCCATCAAAGTCTCCCAGCTCAGCAAAGAGGCTTTGCCCGGCTGCCTGCGGGGTACCCGACACGCTGCTCGTGGCGAAGCTGGCAGGACTGCTCTGGAATGTGGGCTCTTCGCTCGCCTGTCGTGAGCGGCGCGACGATGAGAGTGTGGCACGACTAAGCCGGACGCGCATCTTCTGGGGTGGTAGCGCAGTGGGGGTCTTGACACTAGATACCGAATAGTCATCCTCGTCGGTCGAAGTTGAGGCTGTGCTGTGGTACGAGTATCGTGTGCGGCTCTGCGTCAGTCCTAGAGAAGGCGGGCGCCTTAGTCGTCGGCCCAACCCCGTGGGTGCCCCCTCGGTTTCCGTGGCCGCGTCGTCGTCGTCGTCGCTCAGCTCCTCGGCACCAGTCTGAAACTCCTCCGTCTCGGTAGCACGCTCATCGTTGGCAGTCTCAAACGCACCGTCACTCGTCTCGTGGGCCGTCTCGAAATGATCACTGGACTCGAGCACCGCGGGCATTTCCGTCGTCGGCAGCACATTGCGTTCGGCAGGTGCACGCGTGGGGCTCGAGGCTTGGCCGGCTTGATCCTCCCAGTCGGGGTCATCATCGAGATAGATGTCGCTGCGACTGGCACGAGCTCCGCCGAGCTGGCCCGGCTTGAGGGGTTTCTTGAATTCGCGAGAGTCCATTTTGCGGGTGCGTCGAGTCGCGCTGTTGGATGCATCTCCTCCTCTCATGCGCTCCATCTCGTCGCGGAGGTCCTGGACGATGCGCTTCAGCTCCAACTTCTCGGTCTTGTCGCGATGGTTGTTGGCCCTCAGGCTTTGAATGGTTCGCTGCGCATGGTGCAGAGATGTCTTGAGCGTTTCAGACTCGAGCATTGGGTGGCGCGGTGTGCCTTTTACGGGCGAAGGAGGGGGCGAATGCTCTGGTGTGGCGTTGTCAGTCGCCGTTTCGAGGTCCTCGTCACTCATTCCCAGATTGACGTCTCGCTCCAGTGTCCTCCCTCTCTGGCTCGAAAAGGCCTTGGCGAGCTCCTGATTCTGGCTCGTGAGATCGTCGATTTTGCGCTGCATGGCAGATCTCTCGCTCTCGGCCATGACCATGTTGCGCTTGACGGTCCCCAGCTCGATGTCGTGGTGCTTGACGGCGGCAGCATGCTCATCCACGAGCTTGGAGTGTGTGACCTTGATCTCGTCCAGCTCTCTTTGCGTCAAGTTCTTGTCGGCCTGCAGGACGTTGAGGGCCTGTGTCAACTTCTTCTCGCGCTCTTGAGCCTCCTTTTGGGAAGCTATGAGCTCGTGTAGCTGTGTCTCCAGATTCCAGTTCTCATCCTTGTAGCGGTGCTCATTCTCGTCCAGGCTCTTGACGCGCTGTTGGAAGTTCTCGGCATCCAATTCCAGCTTTGATTTCTCCAGCTTGATATCTCGGAGTTCCTCGTCACGTTCGGCAAGCAGCGACTGCAGGTTACGGACTTGAGATATGAGACTCGTGCTGATCTCGGCCGCAAATTCGATATCGTGAATCCGGTTCGCCGGCTGGTTGCGCGACCTGCGATTTGGCACGCTCAACTTGGTCGGGGAGCCCGTAGCTTGGCTTTCGAATTTGGACGGGCTGACTGAGCGCTGGAAGTAGGTCAGCACACATGTTATCGCGACTTTCTCTCCAAGCAAGTAAGCTTTATCATGCACATACCCTGCCGCCCTTTCCTTCGGGGGCAAACGGCGAGCCGGCGGCAGCCTCGTTGCTTGGTATCCTCTGTTTGGGAAGCAAGGTCCTCGAGGTCTCTCTTGTCACCTCGCTATAGTCCCGCTCGAGATTTACGAGAGTCTTTTTCAGTTCAGATGGTACCTCCTCCTCGGATTGAAGCTGCTCCACCTCCTTCATCTGCTCCTCGATCTGCCTGCGGTGTTCAACCAGTGCAGTGCCAGACTTGCCCACTTGTTCCAGTTTGCGATTTGTCTCGAGCAGATGAGCCTGAAGAGCTCGCTTTGCTTGTTCTGCCGATGTGCCGAGACTGAAGGAAAATATCTGCGGATCGAGGGTGGAATAGCGAATATGTCTCGCGGTGCTAGGCGGGTTCGCTACAGACACAAAGGGGTCCTCTCCCCCTCCCACCCCAGAGGGCCGGGGAGAGGCGATTGGGTTTGCCATAGTGGACGAATCGGCCTCTTGTCGCGCCCAGCAAGCTGTTGGAGTATAAAAAGCATGCGACGTTGCTAAAATAAAGACGGCGCGAAAGCGACCAAAGGAGAGAAAGAAGATTTTAAAGTCAAGAGAGTGAAAGTGGGAGGCGATCGGGGAACACAAGGTGTCGTGTTGAGGCCGGGCCGTAGGTTGTTCTTGACGGTGGGCGGTCTTGTCGGCTGGAATGTTTACGTCCAGAGCTACAAGGACAGCAGACGCGACAAAACCGGCACGGGCTTCAGGGAGCGTGCGGTCTGGGGGCGCGGTGGGGAAGATCAAAATGTGGGTGCTGTGCTGCAGCAAGCACGAAGCACGAAGCACGCAGCTTGCGGGCGGCCGCGATGGCTGATTGCTCGCAGTGGCTGGGATTTGTAGTGGGGCGATCCAGCAGGTTGGGTGGGGACGAAATTATTCCAACGGGGCGACCAAACAAAACGACAACGAGGGCGACCGATTGTAAACAAACGGGGATGACCAATCACAGACGCAATGGTGACGGCACGAAACACCAGCTCAATTGATGTCCATGCCAACATCCTACTACTCTATACAGGTTTTGACGTTATGATTGCTCAGCCGCTTCTATCTTGGGCTAGCCAGGTGGGCAAACTGAAAACATCGACCGAGTTTCAAAACGAGGACAAGACAGAGGGAGGAATGTAACAAAGGAGAGAGAGCATAATTGTGAGACAATCTCAAAATACAAAGAGTTTGCGTGCAACCAAGAATTACCTGCGTTTGTGCATGCTGGAAAGGAGAGAGGGTTTTCATCCATTCTTCTTGGTCACGTCTCCAATGTGGCCCGTTAGCTGTGCCCAAAAGCAAAAGAAATCATAGAACAGGCGCTCCGTCAACTAATTCCGTCGGTCTGAGGACATGGGACAAGAAAGAGGAACAAAAGAATGCAAAGAAAACGGGATAACCAGATTAGGCGTTCTCCGGCAGTTGTCTTGCTCGTGAATTTGACAAAAGAAAAGGTGCCGGCCTTGGTTCGGCTGGCCTGGGTCTCACTTGCTGGCAAAGAAGCTCCGGAGCCCGGCTTCGGAGTCGTCAATGACCCATGGGTCAGGGACGACAAAGTTGCTGAAGCGCTTGTTGGGTCCGCTCTCGTCGGCAGGACCGGGACCGTCAATAGCCATAGCCTCGGCCAGATCGACGCGGCCGAGAGTGCGGAACAGATGCCTCTTCTTGGCGTCCAGGGTGGCATCATCCAAGGCATTGTGAGTGCTCTTGACGTTGGCATACCAGGATTCATCGACCCGTTTCTGGTGACGGTCGAGCTCCTCGCGAGTCCTGGGGGCATGAGTGCGGCGTGGAGGGAGAAACTGCTCCAGGGGTTCGCTAGATGGAACGTAGTCAGAGGGTAGTCCGAATGGGTAGTAGAGCCGCATGGAGGGAGGCGGTTCGGGCTTGGAGACTGCGGGAGCGGGAGCCTCTGGATCTGCCATCTTTGGATCTGCCTTTTTCGGATCTGCCATCTTTGCATCTGCCGTCTTCGGGTCGGCTGGCTTGGGGCGGCTAGTACCAATGGGTGGCTGGAGGACTGGGGGGGTAATGGCCCTGGACGGCTGAGGAGAGTTGACGATGGCATCAATCATGGACTGGATAACGTCGGGATAGACCTCTTCTTGGGCTGGCTTGAACCTATTTTGGGCCGGCTTGAACACATTTTGGGCCGGCTTGAACACGTCCTGGGCCGGCTTGAACACGTCCTGGGCTAGCTTGGGTACGTCCTGGGCTGGCTTGGACACGTCTTGGGTTGGCTTGGACACGTCTTGGGCTGGCTTGGACACATCGTCCTGCGAGGATCCCTCGTCCTCGGAAAGCCAGCCGCTGTCCTCGGTTGACTGATATGCGCTGGTGGCAGAATCGCCAGATTCCTGAAAGATATGTAGGTCCGGAGAGCTAGGATCGCTAGACCCCTGGAGGACAGAGGGAGCTGAGGGGCCAGGACCTCGGAATGGCTGATGCTTCCGAAGACCTGGAGGTCCAGCAGTGAGTGGCTGAGGCGCTCCAGGACGGGTTGGAAATGGGCCTGAGCGAGGGCTTATTGTCTTCAGGAACGCATTAAAGGCGGCTCTGCGGGCAGCGCTGTGGGCAGTGATATTGCGAGGAACGGGTGCGCCGGCCGGGGCATAGTCGTCGCCTAGGGAGCGAGAGGCTCTGGCATCAGGTCCAGGCTTGCCGGGCGCACCGCATCCGACATCAGGTCCAGGCTTGCCGGGCGCAGCGTATCCGGCATCAGGCTTGCCGGGCGCACCGTATCCAGCATCAGGTCCAGGCTTGCCGGGCGGACCGTATCCGGCATCAGGTCCAGGCTTGCCGGGCGCAGCGTATCCGGCATTAGGTCCAGGCTTGCCGGGTGCACCGTATCCGGCCATAGGGGGCCTGTACGCTCCGAGACCAGCCCGAGTGGTTGGATTCTGGTTCTGAGGCATGCTCAGCGTCTCCGATCTGGAGGCAGCGGGGCGGTCGGAGAAGGGGCGCGCTCGAGACAAAGCCTTTTTCGCGGCTCTCTGCGACGGGTTCTGGTACGACGCCAGGTTGGTAAGGGCCTTGACATTGAACTGCGAGGCTAGGACATTGACAGAAGCAATGAATTCGGGGTCTTCGTCATCTTGGTGCTGGCCGTCATCGACTCCTGCAGGCCCCACCTTGCGCCAACTCTGAGCAAGCCTTCCGCCGCCGACGTCAGGGCCTGGAGATGTCATTCCCACGAGATGCGGGGGGAGGGTGGAGACTGGGTTCTTCAAGTTTCCGAGGGGCCCTTGGAGCTCTCTCAGGCGTGGGGTGATGGCGCGGTCGTAGTTTTGCTGAAGGGGCGTGTAGGTGTCGCGGCGATATGTAGTGATGTGAGGCGGATAACGGACCGGGATGGGGTTCTGGTTGTATGGAATCCCTGGGCTGGGACTGCCTCTGGCTCGGCTAGGGAACCAGCGGGGAGAGTTTGTCCTCCTGACCGGTGGATAGACGGGTGCTGCCATGTTGGGGTTGTAGACTGTTCCTGCTGTGGTGTAGCGAGGGGCGGTCGGGTGGGGAGTAAAGGCGCGAGGGTGAGGAGCAAAGGTGCGAGGGTGAGGAGTAAAGGCGCGAGGGTGAGGAGTAAAGGCGCGAGGCGCGGTCACCGCGGGAGGACCAGAGATGGGCAGCATCGACTGCACCGGTCGGGGTCGGGTGGCCGTCCCCTGCCTCTGCTGCTGACGGATCTGTCCTGTAGTCATGATGGAAAATCTAACACGCCACGGCGCGGAAAGCAGTGGGAGGAACGCGACTGCCGCGGTGGGAAAAAGGTTCGGTCACGCTTTCCAGTGGCGATACCAAAGCCAGAGCAAAGCCAATACTTGGTGGAAAAATGTATGTGGAAAGGAAGTGAGTGGCGAAGAAAGAACGACTGCCGCCGGCGACCCAAGGGAGTTGCCAGGCGCGGGCTCTGGGAAGGGGAGGAGGAAGAGAAAAAGATGAGAGGTAGGTGCAGGATCGGGGAGAAAAAACGAGTGGAGACAGCCCTCAGAGACGGGTGAGAAGGTGGGTATATGGACGAGTGAATGGAAGGCAGTGACTGTGTTGATGCTGGGAAGGAAGGGACGACGCGTTGGCGGAAAAACAAAAAGAGCGAACCCGGTTGCGCAGGTTCGCCCAATGGCGGATGCTATGGCAGCCAGCTAGATACTCGGACTTTCTACGGCATGCTTCTTGGTCTTCTTTTTCTTGCCCGACTTCCTCTTCCGTTCCATCTTCAGATTGCTGTGTGCAAAGCCCTCGTGGGAGCCGGTGCCTGGTTTCGCAGGTTGCAGGTGGCAGCCATGCCTTTTGATGCTGCTCTTTCCCGCCCGGAAGTTCCCGAGATGCGAGTGACTGCAACGCATCTAACACGGGCAAACATAAGGCCAAGGAAACATGAGAATTGTTTGTCCTCGCGTTGGGTGGCCCGTCCACCACAGGCCCAGGTGGCGAACATGTAGGAGTTGATCCGGCATCTATTTTAGCAAACCCATCACTTGCTATAATTCACATGGAGGTGATTCCATCTTGCAGCAGCCTTGGCTGGTGATGACATGTTCTCCCGTTCCTGTATCCTAATTTGGAAACGGCAACTCGTCATGACTGGAGTCAGAATCGAACTGAGGTATGCGTTGAAACTTTCATAGGAGGGTCACCTGGGAAACAAGGCCGCATCACCAGTCAAAACCGATTTGAGGCGCAAGACCGACAGACAGTTTGCGGACTGGACATGCTTTTCCCCTGAAAATTTTGCTGTTTTCAACGTTCTGTATTCTGCTTTTTATTTGCACCATGTGACTGACCATGGGCGTGCATTGGCGGCCGTCTCCTGCCTTTTACACAGCCTTGCCTATTGATCTGACCGACGAGAAGCATGCGTATACTTGGGATTGGGTGCATTCTATAGAGCGGAGTGAACATGCCCACTGATTGCATATGCGGCCTGACGCCTCCTGCCAAGTGCAAGAAGTAGAGAGATAAAGGGCTTTTCTGGCTGCTTTCGTCATTGCCTGGGAGACGTTGATTGGAGCTCCCTTGATTGATGGGCTTGTGATGGTTACGCTAGGGAAAATATTCCCCGGTGGCCCAGCAGGCCATGCATTCATATGGTGTTGGATGCTCGATGGATATTTTGCACAAGCAACCCTCCGCTCCTGGTGTCCTTCGCCGCTGTTGATAACGGCACGGTCTGGTAGCCTGCTACTCACATTCCCGCTGTCCCTTGGGCGGATGCTCCTGTCTCGAAGCAGCTACAAGATGGCAGTCCACGACAGAGAGCTGCTCCACACGGAAAGATCCAATGATGACTCGGCCAGCTATTTGCAAACAAGCCTGTGGCGAGCTATGGTATGAACCGCCGCTCCTCTCCCTCATTATTGCCTGTTCCAAATGTTCTATTGCAGATCACCTTCCGACTGTCTCGACAAGGCCCGAGACGACGAGCCTCCTGTTGAGCCCGTCTGCTGGACTCCGAACGTCAGTGTCACAACGCTGTTGCCATGCTGATTGTCGAAATATCACTACTCAGATGTGGCGAGACTGGCGATGGTGCGACGAACAATCAAGGCTATCCGGAGTTTTACAAGATCCTGTGACAGTGGCAGCGGATTGAGGGGTCAGGGGTCAGTCCTGATCCGACTCAAGTATGCAGAGGGAACCTGCGAAGCATCCCAGACACCTCCGATTCTTTCCCCCTTCTTGATAGACTACATTAAATTGCGGGATCAGTCACGGTGAAGCCATCGTGACTCTTTACCTGGGTGTTATCCAGGAGACAGCGCGGTTTGACCAATGCTAAGAATCTGCTAAGCTATGAACATAGAAACGGCCTCACCCACTTCTTTACACCTTGTAGCCGTGCTACCACGAGATTGTGGCCATGGCAAGTCCGTATGCTTTTTACCTTTACCTGGGTGGGTGTGGCACCGGCCATTCTGGGAAGATCGGTTTCTGGGCCTTGGAAGAGATGAATAGGGGAAGAGCAAGCGAGCGGATGAAAATGGAAGATAAAGAGGGAGGGGGCTTGCGTTGGGGTGGGCAGAAAACTGTTCTGGTTCCCGAGCATGGCTAGTCAGCGTGGCCGTAGCCTCGCACTGCCTGGTCGTGAAATCGCGACACCTGCATCATCGCGGCGCCAAGGGTTCCGCGCTGTGCTCCAGGGGTGACGCCCATCATTTTGCTGAAGCTAGGAGACTCCCAGGCCCCAGACCTTGACTGCGTGGCGATAGTGTCTCATCTCCCTCTCCGGGGCGAGGTAGTCAAGCGTGCCTCCGGTGCCTAGTCGTGCCACCAGCCCAGGCCCGGACCGCAACCGCTGGAGTTACCTGCATAATCTGTCAAGCACAAAAATGCACTTTGTCAGCTGCCTTGCCGGCCACTCAACCTCGCCTCTGGTCAAAGGGTACCTGATGCTCAACTCCCGAAACGTCCGCACTTTGTAATCTGCTTTATACCTAGTCCTGCAGTTCCGCTGCGCGATCTCGACGGCGGGCATCCTAGTCACATGAACCAATAACTGAGCCTGTCGAGCCCTGTTGGAAGGTACCTATGATCGTGAGCTCTGCTTGTTGGGAATGGTCGCTGTCTGTGGCCTGGAACAAAGGGAAGAGGGCTCGATGGTGTAGTTTCGAGTGTGGTTTGTGGTGTAGATGACCAGGCTGAGGCACGCGGGCGGTGGCGGCTGGTCCCTGCCCACCATCAGTCCAGCACGGAAATCCAGGCCACCGCTGGCGGCTTTCCAGGCGAAGGGACGGTTTCCCACCTAGCAATATCTGCCTCACCCAGCAGCCCGACTGTAGCTACCAGGAAAGGTGACAAGGAGGAGGTGACACCACCGCCATAACGGAGCCAGAGACACCCAAAGACGTGTTACAGGACACTGACGAGGACGGCGACAAGGGCGGTAGACAAGACTCGACACACACGCTCAGCAAGTGGCGGCAAACCCGCAAGAAGGTTCCAGTGCGAGCTCGGCAGAAGAAGGCCAGCGCAACGAGACGCCGAGAAGCACGACCTGGCGAGCGGAAGCAGATGCCAATTCGGCCCACCCCCGACGTCCTGGGCTGAAGATACGCTACGCACTCGGCCGAGGGCAATGTCAAGTCAAGAAAAATACATCTTGTCTATGCATTTCCTATCTCCTAGATGATGCTTCACGGGGTAGTTTGTGAACTTGGGGGACGTGGCGAAAGCATATTGGCCGCGGATGGTGCACTTGGGGAGAGGACGTTGTGGCAGGCGGCTGGCTTGTTGACAGGAGACCAATGTGTCATATCATCGAAGCCTGTGTCTTGGCCCGCGCAACATGCACGGCGGGTGGGTCGAGTTTTATTGCTCCTCTCATTCAAGCTTTATGACATTGATCCAAGAACCCGCTAGGTGCTCTGCCGTTCCATTGGCGTCCTCTTTTAGTTAAATAGGTACCATATACTAAAGCCACACCAAAGTAGTTTGGATAAAAACGCAATTTCCCACCAAAAGTCGACACATTCCAACCGCTATATTAAATCAGCAAAAAATGCTACAATAAAAATTCAAAATGCATTTACAAAGTTGGAATTATAATTAATACATATATCAATTTCAAATTATTTAAAGCTTGGGAAGCATATAAATTACTTGGCTTACATGAGTGTTAAAGCGCAACGACTTTTCGGCGGTAAGCATACCCATCCTTTCCGATGCCGCAATTCCAAAGTAACATCGAGTGCTTACATGCTTCCCAAAAAAATAATATTTTATTATTTTAATATTTTAATATTTTATTATTAATTTTTTATTGCTCGACTTACTTATTCCATATCGAACTTTATTACGTTCCTTCCCTTTATTTCCGCTAAAAACAAAACAAATTTACCCCATTCGAAAAAAAAGAGAGAAAAAAAAGCTTAAAAAAAAAGATCGAAGCAAATCGCAACGGTTATGGCAGGATACATTTTAAAATTACCAACCTTGTTTTACTTATTTAACCCGGATCCTTTCTTCCCATTATCATTTCTTTTTTTTCCACCACCATTGCACGGGCTGTACCAACGAAAATTGGTTAATAATGGTAACTGAACGACGATGCACAAGGTCCAGTGCCTTGGATACGATTAATGCAATAATTTCGCACGGGATTATCCCTTCGGCAGGTTATTAGTATATGCCAGCTTTGGCATGGATTAATTTTTGCCCTTTTTCGGGTTTGCTTTTGTCGTATATCCAAATTTTCCATTTTAAACCCGATGCAAAGGCTAAAAACATACGATTAACCTTATTGCTTTAATCCATCGGAGGACTTTTTGCGAAAGGCTTTACCGCTGCTTTTCCTTGCTTCGGCTCGAATCGATGTTTTCGTTACGGACTTGCCCTTCCCGTTTCGCCGTCGCCGAGTTTGCTCGGTTGTTTGCTTGTATTTATCCCCTGCTCCATTATGAAGCCCGGGCGCCCGCATTATCGACGGAACTTTGCACGTTCGTAAAACGTGTCCTCTTATACCTGAAAGCAAACATTCTTGTACCCGCGTATTTTAATATTTTATTCTTTATTCTTTTATTCTTTTATTCTTTTATTCTTTTATTATATTTAACGTTATTTATTAATTTATTCTTTTATTCTTTTATTATATTTAACGTTATTTATTAATTTATACCCCTTTTTACCACTTTGGCCGAGGTTTGGTCCACGTTTCCCCACCTTGTCCGAGGTTTTCCACCTTGGCTGAGCAATCCCCTCGCGCCTTATCCCATTCCACCAATCCCACGCCAATCCCCTCGACCTGATGAATGCCCAACACAATCGCCATGGAGTACGGCAACGATCCATTAGGCACCAACGTGTCCCGCATCCTGTCATGGCTTGAAGCCTGCGCAGCTCACTCTCGGCCACTTCCCTCACCAGCTCACGCCAACATCCCGCCAACTCCCCCGATGTCCTCATCGCCTAGCAAGAGGAAGCGGCCGCTTGGATCGGGCGGCCGCGGGCGTGGCCCCCATGGCGACGCCACCACCCACGACGATGGCGATGAAGCCCCTGGCGAAGCCATTCACGACCAGAACCCCGAGTCGACTGTGCCTGGGCAAGGCCAGACCTCCCTCGGCGACACCGACATGGTGCAACCACCTTTCGGCTTCAATCTGCCTTGGCGGCCTTCCGCCTCAACATCGTACCCCTCCAACTCCGGGTTCGACTCTCGAGAGCAGGCATCCCAAACGACTCGGCCAAGTCGTCGGTCCGCAAGTCCCATCAAGCGCCCATTCCACCTCAGACTCCTTGCCAAACCGGTCCAATTCACCAATTTTTCCAGCGACCCCTTATCCCAACTCCCTCGGGACGTTGGCGAGTTATATACAAAGCTTCAGCGCGTAGTCGAAGATAGGGAACTTTTCATACCCGAAGCGTCCCGCCAATTCCTCGCCAATATGATGCCAGCCCGACACCGTTGGCCGGACGCGTGGTTCCGCCCGACCGAAGACGAGTTCCAGCCATGGGCAAGCTCGCAAATCGATGAACCCCTCAGCTCCTTGGCGTGCAGACAGGGTGATGCCCTTGCAGCCATTTGGAGAAGTGCACTTCGGTGCGAGAAGGAGGGTGCCTTGGAATGCCAATGGAATCAAAAGGTGCACAGCCCAATCCTGGAGCTCGCGGCAGCGTCGACAAAGTGCGGCGTTGTTTGCGAATCAATCATCAGCGTATCCATCGCGACCACATGGCTTCCAGCATTGGGGAACCAGTCGGCGGGGGCGACTGTGACGGAGGTGGCCCGCGGCAAAATGGTGGATTTCGCGCTGGCCCTTGACCTAGCCGAGCCTCTTGTTCCCTCGCACGCCATTTTGCACGAAGCGCTGGCCGCACTGCTCGCCACCGGAGAGACGGAGGACGCACAAATGGTCAACCAAACCGGTTGCGACTACTTGTCGCTCAAGCCCATCGCGGTGAGCATCGAAACCAAAGTGGATGTGGGTCCTTCGCGTGAAGGCACTATTCAGCTGGGAGTTTGGGTGGCGGCGTGGCACCGTCGCATTGCCGCTTTCGGACTCGTACCTCACGGGGGGATCATCACGCAGCCATTGCTTCTATGTGTTCAGGACAGCTGGAACCTCTACTTTGCATGTGACCGGGGAGCGCGGATTGAAATTGTTGGGCCTCTGGAGCTGGGAAGCATGAAGGACTTGCTGAGTGTGTACCGTGTGTACGAAGCTTTGCGGGAGTTGTGTAAGTGGATTGGTGGCACGTTTTGCGAATGGTGGAAGGGAGTGTTGAGGGTTGTGTAAAGGAGGTTTGTTCAGGGTGTTTCTGTTCAGGGTGTTTTTGTTCAGGGTGTTGGCTACGGAACGATGGTAGACAGAGAGTAAAAAGGATTTGGGTACAATGCAAATTTTATTGGGAGCCGTACTTTCTTGATACAAGGGAGGTTGTGGCAGGCAAGCCCACAAGTACCACTTTCTCCCCATCTACTCCTGTCCCTGACTATCAACTCCTGTCCCTGTCTATCAACTCCTGTCCCTATCAATCTCATAGTGCTCGCACTGTTGCTTCCGCTCGCACTGTTGCTTCCGCTCGCACCAACTTGTGGTGGACTTTAAGAGGGAGGGGGGATGGCGGGCGACACGGCCTCGAGGGTAAGCCCCGCCTTGAGGACGAGCCAGGCGGTGTCGAGGACCATCAGGATGGCCTTGAGCTCCTCGAAGAGGCGGCGGGCGGCGGGCCCACCGCCGAAATTGGGGGGTTACCGGGGTTCGCCGTCCTTTGCCCCCCGCGGCCCGGTAGCCGTAGCAAATGGTGCTGCCAGGGCCGCGGCGGCTGGTTTTTTCCTGTAGTTATTTATTTAATGCTTAAAAGGGTTCCGCGCATGCTTTAACCAACCGAACGAAATAAAAAGCTGGTTAAATTTGCCCGACATTGTATGGGGGGATTAATGCCCCCCCAAAACCTGCAACGCGGCGGTACGGGCTTAACATTTTGGTTTTTGGTATTAACCAGCAAAAAGAGCAAACGCGGGGCGGAAGGGGTTAGCGCAAGCCGCATGCCAAGGGGGTCGAGTTTGGGGGCATGGGGGGACCAAACCAAAGCAAGGTTTTGGTGGCTTCCAAATCGTTTGGATGGCGATTAGATTTTAGCTGCGCCCCATTTTTTGTAATGCGGGATTTTTTTATACAATATACAAAATTTAAATACGGGCGCCCATCCAATGTTTAAATTGTCGATAAGGTCCAATTAATACTGGTGGGATCCTTTTGCCGGTGTGGTGCTTTTGCCGGTGTGGTAAGGTATGCACGCGTGGTAAGGTATGCACGCGAGTGGTGGCGGTAATCAGGAACGGAGCAGGAGCGGAACAGGATAAACAGATGTTGGCTGGTGGCGAGGTCAATTCAAACGAGGTCAATTCAAACGAGGTCAATTCAAATCCGCGATGGGCATTTAGTGGTGTATGTGCATGTGCATGTTGTTGTAATGTTGTGGTGGAGGGCCGTGTTTGACCCAAGGCCTTTTTGACCCAAGGCCTTTTTGGGGTTTGTTATTGTGTGGGGTAGCGTGCGTGGGGTGGACCCGGCGGTGGACCCGGCGCCGGCGCCCTGTCTCCCGGCCGGCCTAGGAGGGCGGTGTGCCCTTCCACTGTTGCCGGCCATTGGCGGGCTTGCGATTTGGAATAGTGAGCAAGACCAAACAGAAGCTCGAGCGCAAGGACGCCGAGGGACCACATGTCCACTTTGTTTGTATATCGCCGGCCGGAACGGATCTCTGGTGCGACGTAGTATGGCGTGCCACAATCTTGATTGAGACTCGACGATGTCGACGCCAGATCGAAATCGGTCAACTTGACGTGAACTGGGTTTCAAGACCGGACCAAGACGTTGGCAGGCTTGATATCTCGATGCGTAATGTGCTTGCCGTGGAGATAGTTGACGGCGTCGACAAGCTGCCCAAGGACGATGCGGCTTTCCAGGGTCGTGAGCGGTTGTTGTTCATGTTCCTTGGCGAGATCCAGGCCCGTCGACCAATTCCATAACCAATGTCGGCGGCCTGTCGGGCCAAATGACGAAGCACTGATAGTCGACAATGTTGGGGTGGCGGATGTCGAGAAACTCGCCATCGCTGTGCCTTTTGACGTCGGTTGTGCGGAACTGTTTGACAGCGACGGCTTTCCTGGTGGCCCCATGGACCGCGCGGTAGACGGTGGCGCTGGTCCCAAACCCGAGCTCTCTCCCAAGGTCATGGCCAAGAGTCTTTGCGCTCGTGGTCGCTTCCGATTCGAGGTTCAGAGTGTGAACGGGAGGCTGGATCGTGATCATGAGCTTGCCAATAACGATCTGAACATGTTCGTTTGGCGGAATGGCTCGTTGTGCTCTTTCTAGGGTTAGAGTGCCCAGTTTATATGATGTGATTCGGGTCCCGTTCCTGCTGTAGTTCTTGATAAGAAGGGCACCGGAATTGAAGTTGATCTCAATGGCGAACTTGTCGCCTGCTGATCCCACCATCTCCAACTTGGATTGACTAATGCCGGTGCATCTATCAAGAACTATCTAGGACACCAGTGCTTCTGCCAAGAGCCTGTGATCTGTGATCTGTGGAGGGATCACAAATCACTTTTGCTTAGCCAAGGCCATCGCGTGACCTCTCCACTGGCTGAACCTGTGCCCCCGTCTGTCCTGGGTGGTCGTAACACCTTTTTTCTTGACCCAGGCTCTTTCCCTTTGTCCTGTGCCCCTAGGGCCGTGTCAGGTGACAAGGCGGGGTGATGCTCACCCGGCTGGCGCTGGCTGCCACACCTCGGGCCCCCTCCTGGGCCATGTCTGTTGGTTGTAACAAAATGATCTAATGCCAGTGCATCTATCAAAGGCTATCTAGGACAAAAGGAAATTTCTTGCTGTAGTGCTTTGCACCATTTGCCTTGGGTCTGTGGCTCTGTGCTTGGGGATCACAAATCCAGAGATCCAACTTGGGGCCATGTGTCACGTATTCCTTTGTTAGCTGGGAAGGCGCGGTAGCTGGCCTCGTGGCCCAGCCGCCTTCCCCCTTTGCTCCTGTCTGTGGCGGGTCGTAACAGCCCGCGAGGGACCGCTATCGGGGTTCGAAGGGCTCATGCCCCTTTTCGGTAACCCTAACTGTTGCCAGAATTTTCGTCCACACATGGCCCGAACAAAATTCCAATTCTCTTTCTTTCATTCTTCATCATGGACGGACCTTACGAAGAGGCGGCTCGATACGAACCTCGAGACCTTTATTACCTGCCGCGAAACGAGCACGACTATTCGAGACGTGCCTGCAGCCTCGTTTCTCAAAGACCACGTCGGGCCATGTGTCACGGTAGCTAGCCCCAAAGGTGTGGCCCAGCCAGCCACCTTCCCCTGTCTCGGGGCGCGGGCGATGACATGGTTCATGTGGGATTCTGAATTGGGCCACCGTACTCATAACACCGCCCCTAACTGTTGCCTAGAATTTTCGTCCACGCCCAATCAACTCATCGCCCGAACAAAATTCCAAATGTAAGCAGCCCGTTTTATCGCCCAGCTTATTAGGAACAAGTTTCTCTCTCACTCTTTCTTCATCATGGACGGACCTCACTCTTTCTTCATGGACGGACCTCGGCAGTCCACAAAGAGGCGGCTCGATACAAAGCTCGAAATCCCTTCATTACCTGCCGCGAAACGAGCACGACTATTCGAGATGAACCTGCAGCAACCCGCGCCGAAGCGCCCTAGAGCCTCGTTTCTTCAAGACCACGTCGGACCGACCGACGCAATTTCCGAGTGGCTCGAGTCCATCGGATCAGACCGAGAAAAGCGCTGCCGGTCAGACGGCTACCTTGACCGCTCGAGCGACGGACACTCTTTTGGAAGAAAGCCGGAGGCGAACCTCGGAAGCGGCGAAATCTCGCCCACCACCGACCTAGGACTCAGCTGGACAGTACTACCATGTCGCGGAAACCTGTTACAACCTGCCAAGCTGTTCCAAGGAGTGGTCCTTGAGACTGGGAGCCTTGTGAGGACCTCTTTCCTCTCCATCTCGTAGAATAACACTAACCCCCACATCTCCCAGAGTTGGCAGCCTGCGGACGCCCAGCCCTCGCCGCAGATGCACCAAATGCCGCGGATTGTTCCCCTCGACTGTCCCGTCCTCTGTTGACGCGGTGTGCCGCCCGGCGCCCTCTCCCCCCTCCTCTCTCCCTCTCCTCTCTCGCCATTCCCTTTGGCCATGCCCTTTCGTTCACCCCTTTCGCCATCTCCTCTCGTCGTCTCTTGTCATCTTCTCTCGTCCTCCTCTTTTGCCTCCTCTTTTGCCCCTCACCCTGCTTCGTTTCTTTCCAGCGGACAGCTCCGGCGGCGCAATGTCGTCCTATGCCGACTACCTGAAGAAGAAGAAGAAGGAGAAAGCAAAGGCCATCTTCCAGCGACATCCATTGCTGACGGTCTTGTGTCAGCGACGAGACCGAATACAATCGCGAGCGGGCGTGGCAAGCCTGGAATGCGCAAGTTTGCGAGTCTCCCTAACCTGAACGGATCTCTAACGGTGGAGTCGGCCGGGGCGGTCTTGGGGCGTCTGGCGTCGCTTGTTGGCAAAGCCGACAGCACGGTGCTGGCAGCAAGGAGGACGGACCCGCCAACAAGGCTCGCTGGACGCTCCAGTATGTCGACCCCGCCGGGTGGGAAGGGCGCTGTTTACGAGGTCATGGTAAGTTCCTTTATCGGGTCGCCCCCTTCCTTTATCGGGTCGCCCCCCTTCCTTTATCGGGTCGCCCCCCTCCATCCCCCCCTCCCTCCCCCCCCTTCCTTCCCCCCTCCCCCCTCCCGACGTGGCTGACGCCTGACCCCCCAAGGACATCCCGTGCGAGCCCCGGGAGCGCGTCGCCTTCCACACGCTCACCGTCCTCGACGCATCGGCGGCTGGCGGCCGGGGTCCTTGATCGGGATGACGTACGAGCGATCCGCCTCGGCATCATCCAGGATCCAGCCACGGGACGGAGAAAGTTGGTGGCCACGCCCACCATTTACCAAAACAAGACCAAGAAGCACAAGAGGATCCTCAAGACCCAGGACGAGAAGATGTGGAGGGCTTCGAGAAGCGGTGCATGTTCCCCATCTCGTACGAGGGCTTCCGGATCCTGTGGCACCGCACGCTCGAGGTGGCCGGGTGCGTCGGTATGCGATGGGCGTCGGCGTCGGCGGCAGACTGGCCGGTGCTCTCCACGCGGCGCTGCGGAGCTACATGCAGGGCAACAGCGAGTCGGTGTTCAGGAGCAACTACCAGCCGCACCACGTGGCTGAGAAGCTCATCGCGGTCGGCTTCGGACGCTTCGTCAAGCACGACGACGACGGCGGCGACGAGTGGCTCTACGAGCTGCTCCGCGACGCGCTGCTGATGCGGGACGATGGCCGTGGACAAGCGGCGAAGGAGTACTTTGAGGCGGCGGGACAGGCTGAGACGCCACGGCGCGTCGACCGACAGCCTCTGCGCCGACGCCACGGGTCCGCGCCGCAAGTCGGGCCCCGTCAGTTACTGGGCCGAGCCACACCATCAGCGTCCACATTCGCGGCCTAACCTTTGCCAAGCCCTTTAACTGCCCGGAGTGCCGCTCAAGAACTATCTAGGACAAAGGAAACCCTTCCTTCTTATACCCTGGCCCGGCCAAGGGTGTTTGCCTGCCAAGACCCAACAAGCCACTGATCACTCCTGATCTCTTGGGCTCAGTGGTGATAAGTGCCTTGTCGGTCCTTAGCGCCAGAGGTCACGTGTGCGGGGTGTGTCCTAACTAGTGAAGTGAGGATTACCTGCCCCTCCTTCTGTCCGTTGGTCGTAACAGTGTCCCGTAACAGTTGTCCCTGAAGCGCCAGCGTCCGTCCCAACACCAGGGCCAACCCCATTTTAACCGGCACCGTTTTGACAAGGCTTTACACGTTTCGTGAGAGTCATCTTTTTGCCCCTGCACTTCTGCCCTCCCTCCTTGCTTAGCCAGCAACGGCCCAGCCCAGGATCACGAACAAAAGTTCCTCGCTTGCCGCTTCACCCCCCCC